TTCTGCGCCTTCTCAGTCCGCTGTACTTTTGTCGTAAGCATATGCCTATTGCACGGAAATAAAACATTCACCAGTTTTTTAGCGCGTCTGCTGGCATTCTCGCCTTGGAAAATATCGATGGTGTCGCGCTTACAGCGATGTTAATTTCCATCCTGTCGTCCTTCAGCAGTATTACGACTGGGCTGTACTGCATCTCGATGTATCAACTTCGTGCACCAGAATCTCCGGATTCTGTTGAACGCACAAATGCATTGACTATCGTATGTGGACTGTGTTGGTCCGGTTCGATCAATTTCTGACGATTCATTCTAGTTCAATTACAACCAGTATACCTTGATGTGCAAAAGTAGCGCCCTTGTTCTGGGCTTACCAATGGCGCTCTTGGTCTGGTCTCTACTTTCATTCATGGTCGGCATACTCTCCTTCAGTATCGTCGGAACTGAGACCTCTGGGCATGTCTCCGGTGTTGCCTACGTTGTTGTTTCGGTGGCCGTTCCTATATTTCTCCTCATAGTGCTCGCATATTGGCTTGCGAGACTTGGGGGGACTGGGTGCGGTCGTACCCTTTCCCAGAGTATTCGAAGACGCTATATGAGCGTTGTACGACATTGGCGGCCACTACCTGCCACGACCGAGGCATGATTTTCTCTGGCTATCTCTCCAGGTGTTACACTATTTTCTTAATAGACATCCTCGTTGTTCTCTCTCGATATCCTCCTCCGTAGTGTCGATGCTTTCATTTCCGATATATCTTTGTCCTTCTCCCGGGCCGGATCATTTATATGAAGTTTGTCCGATATTGGCGACCCGTAGCGGACAATGAGAAGTCCGCTGCCATATGAACTATTTCTCCAAGTGCGCTCCACAATTTTCTTGACGGATATGAAGTCTGGACTAGTTTCATTTATTTTGTAGCGCCGTTTCGTCTGCGGTATTAGATGGGCTGATGCTTCACGCGTCTTTCAGCTTAGGCTACACTCGGTTCAAATTTCCTCACATAAATGGAGGGACAAACCGAGGTCCAATGATTTAACGATTTGCCCTCCTGAACCCTTCCAAATGCGGCCACCTATAGCTAGAATCGGGAAAGAATTATCAATTGAGGTGACAAAAGATCTAAACCAAGAGGCTCGGTTATGGTGTTTGTGGGATCCCAAAACAATTAAGAAAAAAGATCCCAAAAAGGAAAGAGAAGGAAGGAGAAAAGAGGAGAGTTCAGAATTTGCATACCTCCTATGCATTGCTTGTAGCTCTAGGTTCAGCTTTGCGCAGCATAATTGGCACTGTTTACTTCCCATCTACTAGCCAAACAGAAGAAAGGGTTGGTATCTTGCCACTACCAGACTCAACCCGAGACTCTGCAGGAATTCTCCGCTATGTTGGAACCACTGACTCCAAGTGCAAGCATGCCTACCTTGCGGAAAAACAGGGGACTAAATATGCTGTGATCACTGTACACTCTGTTGAGCCTGAGGAGAAAATTCATTTCACAAATATGATGCAAGTTTTTGCTCCACTTCAATGTTCACCACCTGATTGGATACAAGGGGCTTTGCAGTATAAGGATGCAGATTGTGAGACCATTTTTTACAGGGTATGTCCCCACCTTTTTTTTAATAACTTTTACAACTGTTTTCTGACAAAATACTGTAGCTTGCAGAACACTTACGGACATATCATCGTAAATGGCTCCGTAAAGCTAATGAGAAAAATACCATCAGTCAAATATTGCCCCGATCCATGCTCTCCAAGAAAAAACTCCGAGATGATGACCGCGCTTTAGGTGCCTCCTCAGTTCCACTTCTCCAATTACCAATAAAAGCTTTACCCCTCACTGGACTTCAGTCCAAAACTCAGTTAAATACTCCTCAGCCAGATCTTCAGCCCTATCATCCAGCCAGATCTAATCCATCGAGACAGCCTAATTTTTGTCCCTATCATCCCGCTGGAGTTGATGAATTGCAATACTACAGTGGCTTGACTACAGCTTTTGTGAATCCACCGCCAACCTTTTCCCAGATTGACAGCCTCATTGAATTTGCAAACAACTTCACTGATGATTTGCAGGGAAGCTATCCTCTGGACATCAATTACACTGGTCTAAAAAGCAGTAGCTCAGGTGCATGGAAAGCTCCAGCAGACCACATTGGTCCGGACAGCAGTAGCTTAGGTATATTGAGAGCTCCAGAAGACCTCAACGACTTGAAGCGAGTGGCCCCCAATGTTTTTGTACCTGCAGAGCCGCGCAAACGACACAAAAGAACATGCCACAAATGTAGGGTTTCAGACTGCAAAGGAAGCAGTCAGAAGAGTCGCTGCCAGAATCCTTGTGGAGATGGCAAGCTTTCATGTGAGGTAAGGAGTAGTTATCATCCAGATACCAAGTGCAGAGGGTCCGAAGCCTGAGCACATATTTCTAGCCTAAGGTATGTTCTTCATCATAATTCTACTACTGTGACTCAGCCATGCAGCCAGGTAATATAGGTTTCTTATAGAATACACATGTAAATTAAACCTAGCGATGTCAAGTTTAATTAGAATAAAATGTTGACTATTGACCGAGAACGACTTCAAGTGATGGGCAGGGACATCTACAGTGAGTAGATCACATGATTGATTATTACCATAAACAGTTGAGGTTCACGTGAATTATTACTATAAAAAGTTAAGCCCAATCGGGCTTAACTGTTTTCGGTTACGCTCTTTTAGGGAATTTTGATCCCACAAACACCATAACCGCGCCAACCAAGAGGTGACTGATCTCTGGATCACGTCCTCTGATCTTGCCACGCGAGAGAAGCACCGGACAATTCCGATCACCAACGGCACTTCGGCATCAATCGGCAATACGCCGCTGTCGTCTACCACCCAATATTATCCACCTCGTTTGGGTCTTTTATTCAAGCGCTGGCCAGCGGATCTATTCAAATTTCGATTTGCATTTTAATTACTTCAAATGTACCAGGGATACTAATTTACAAAGACATCTGAGTTGTTGGTACTATGACATGTGCTACTTGGAGTCGGTAGCCCACTTTCTGAAGTTTTTATGTGCCGATGAGATGTTCTGAGTACGCGAGTGTGGCGAGGCGTAGCAGCAGGCGAGTTTGGAAGACGCTTCTGGCCTCTGGACTGAAGCGCTGTGATTGCCGATATTTGTCTACACCAAACAATTTCCTTATTCTGGGGGGGGGGGGGTCGTGGGAACGTTGGCCACGATCCAGATCACGAGCACCTCTTGATCTAAACCGCATTGCGGCGAAGCGCAAAAAGCATGATTTATATAGCTAGACGTGATGTTGCACCGAGGAGCCTCTCACGGGCGTCTGGCTGCCAACTGCCGCAGAGTTCACCGCCCCCACTGCGGTACCCACTGTCGCAAGAAAGTGGTGGGGAGCTCCTTCGCATCGCAGTATGACCCGTTGCGCGTCAGCTGGATGTCGACAACTTGCACTACATGGAGCTCAGGGTGTCCAGCACGAGCAGGACGGCTCTCAAACCCAACTCCATTGGCACCGGACGAGAAAAACTTCCTAGAGAGCAATGTAATGTGCCCGGGCAGTAACAGGGTCAAGCGGGTAGGTACGAGTGCTTAGTAGACAGTCAGTGAGGAGGCGGCGGTGGGCGACATGTGAGGTACTATAGGAAGCAAGTAGGAAGACGAGGCAGGTAGGCACTCGGTAGCACTGCCACATGGTGCGCATCAAATAAAAAATTGTCGGAAAAATATTAATTGGCTTGCAACCCCTTGCAATAGCCTTTTGATCCGAGGGTCGTCTTTAAAGGCCTTCCAAGAGCCTTAGAAGTTAGAAGGCCAGTCTCGGATCAAAAGCGCCTTACAATAGCCTTTCGATGCCGTGCCAAGGCTGTTGCAAGGACATAAATTTTATGTTTTTCCGACATTTCTGTTATTTCTGTGCGCCCGATTTTCAAAGGTTCCTGGTTCGATTCTGGGTCGGGTGGTTCTTTTTCCTTTTTCTGCCTCGTGTTTTCATTATCTTCTACCCTCGTTACGGTTCATTCTCTTTCATATATTGCTCTTGATGGTTCTGGCTTTTGGAAGAGGAAGGCCCGTGGTTACAGTCGTTTTCAAAAAAGTGTACGGGTTTTGATTGCTCCTTCATTTGTGCTTACACTTGTTTGATACTGAGTCGACCCCGCTCCACCATGGCCCCACAACCGCTCCACACATTTGTGCGACCCACAACTGCTCATGGGCACGAACAAAACGACAAGAAGCGACAAGTAGTCCATCTGTCCTACAATCGGCACCGGAAGCAAGCCGACATTGCGGCTGACCTCAACATAAGTCTCAGAGTTGTTAACCAAGGTCTTTGCAGGGAGAATTACATTGAGTGGAAAGATGATGAATTTGTGGATCTATATACATAGTATACAGAGCGACCAGTGGGGCAGTAGCAGTGGAGTCACACCACCGTGTTGCGGGGCCATGACAAGGAGGTGTGGAGCTGGGGTCGACTCAGCGTCAAACAAGTGTAAGCACAAATGAAGGAGCACCACTCCATCAAAACCCGTACACTTTTTTGAAAACGACTGTATTAGTATTTCAACTTGGTTCCAAATTTCGGGCCTCAAGTTGTTATCAATTTAATCTTGATTTTGGGACCTCGTTCCATACTCATATATCTCTTGATATGTGAGGTGAAGGAACCACCCGGTGGCACAAGGTGCACGTCTGCTAGATTTATGTAGTACCGAGAACATTTCAGCAGAATGCCCCGAGTTGGATGGTTCTTTTTCCCTTTTTTGCACCTCGTTTGTTTAAATTTCTCATCCTTTCCAAACTCGACACAACTTTTCTCCTTAAATTTCTCTGGATCTATGTATTGAATGCAGTCAGCAACACAGACAGTCTGAATCCAGACTCTGCAGCTTGGTTCCAAATTTCGGGCCTCAAGTTGAATAAAGGTTATTGATTTAATCTTGATTCTGGAACCTCATTAATGCCCATATATCTCTTGATGTGCAGGATGAAGGACCACCCGGTGGCACAAGGTGTGCGTCTGCTCGATTTGCAAAATATCTTCTCGAGCAAATTTCTGCAGAATGCCTCGGTTCGATTCCGGGTCGGGTGATTATTTTTTGCCCCTTGTTTGTGGAAGCAAGGCCGACCCAAGAGACTGCCTTTTTGGGAAGGTCACGTGGAGCCCGGCCATCAGGCGGCGGGCATGCGGCCACTGCCTGCCTTGCTCACGCCACTCCATTGTCTTCGCCTCACGCCTCCGAGCCTGAGTATCGTCGTGCAGGTAGAAATAGTTTGCAAGCTGAGTATATATTCATGATTAAACTAAATTAATGAGGAGCATGAGACTCATGCCGCTTTGAAGCTCTCTTTTCCAGAGACGGTGCTTCTAGCGATCTATTGGGCTTCCGTTTCTGCGCTGCGCTTCCTTGCGTCGTATGTGGCACAGCCCTCTGCGTCAATTGCGAGGCACTCTGTGTCAAGCTCAGCATGCCAACAGAAAACAAGAGACGGTTGATCTCCCCCAGCAATACTGCCAGATGTCCATGCCCTTGGGACAAAGCATCGCGCTCAGCGTCAGAGAGGGGCCCTGACTTTCGCTTCATGAACTCCGCTAAGTCTCCAGCTTTCGGTCCGAAATCTTGTAACTCGTAGATGGTGCGAGCCAACACTTGTTCGCCCAGAGCTGCAAGATTACTGGCTGCACGTTCAGCGGGGCCGTCCTCCTCCTCGGAGTCGGATGAAGCATCTGTGTCGACGTCGCTGTCACTTTCGTCGCCTTTCTCTGCCTCCGATTCCACCGCATCGGTGTCACCATCTGAGGGAATCGCAACACAAGACTCGTCCCCACGAAGGAGATCTGCCACTGCCGCTGCAGCCCGAACAGTTGGACACTCGGTCGGAGTTGCTGATTTCTCCATCGAAACTACTGATTTCCCCGCCCGGTAGATCGCAGTTTGCGTCTGCAGTGCATGGGCCTCTGTGAGCAAAGACGGTATCAGGATGACCGGCACATTAATTCCTTTGCCGTGCAGATGGTCAAGAAGAAAGAGTGCTCCCCGGATGTGCTTGCAAGCGCCACCATGGTTTTCGAAGTCGGGGCAGGTGCACGTTACCACACCATCCATGCCAACACTGATCGTGTACTGAATAGATACACGCTCAATTTCGAGAGCTTGGGACGAATAGCAGGTGAAGATGAAAGTATTTGTCTCTGGTACAAAGGCAGGTACACCGATTTGACCAGCAGCAAGGAGCTCCTGAGCGCGCTGTGTGCGGTCCAAATCGGGCGAAAGGTACGCAATTTTAGGAATAATTTGTCTCCCTGATGACTGATTTTTGAGAAGATTTTCACCGTCGGGCAACTGTCGAACCTGAGCAGCGATACGGAGTTCCTGTTCTCGGTATAAACGGTGCTCCTGGAAGATTGATGGGAGAATGTGAATGATTAGGATTTGAATAAGAATGTCCACACAGATTCGCCAACCCCCATTTTGCCAACATCGGAGGTGTTTGCGCTTTAAGACGCTGTGGAGCTCCCACATGCGCTACACCATGCACAACGCACCATCTCCCATACAAGCCTTATTCGCAATCTCGCTTCGACGCCCAATCCGGATTCATACATCCCATTTTAGGACAAATCGCGTCTCCACTTCGAATTATTGTATTCGCACTACGACCTCGGACGACGGGCACCCGCGGATCGTAATCACCTTCCATCACGCCACGACCACACCGTCAGCAAAGGCCCGTAATCCAGGAACTCGGACTTTGAACCGCTCGGTAGCCGCCAAAACTCGGTTCACATTTCCAACGCGAAATAAGCTATCGGTTCCGCTACACTTGAAACAACGGTCCCGCTCGGTTCCCCCTGCATTTGCGGTACCGAGGACTAGGCAGGAAAGGTATAAAGAGTGCAGGAACGTAGGACAGTAGTCAGTCAATAAACAGTGTACTTCCCCGCTACCAAAGTTCACCCCTTGGTACCACTCACCATCTCAAATAAGCAATTGGCCACACACACCACACACACTTGCCCACAGCATCTCATCAACTAACACCCTTCTTTCGCAGCTTAAGAAATAAGCCTGCGAGAACTCACTCTCTCCGACACACACACACTTTTATCGATCGCACACCTTCCTTCACGAGCCCAGCACCCTGTAGAAGTGGGAACACGATAAAAGACTTTGGCAAATCATCTACAGTGACCTCCAGTTACGAGCGAGCATAACTGCACGCCTGAACAAGGAACGCAGTCGACGTCGGGGAATTTCTGCGGACACAGCTCCTTGGCTTGTACCAGTTCACCAACTATGAACGTTCATTAGGGGAAATTCGAAGTGAGGCGACAGCAGGATCTCTGGATAGTGACAAGTAGCAGATCAGCGGATTGCTAGCTTGGAGACGGTATATTTTTCACCCACACCTAATTTTACTGATCAATTCGAATCACCACCTCGAATAAACACTCCCTTACAACAAGTCGCGCATTCCTGTCCTACCAGCCAACTACTATCCATCCTTAACACCCCTTTGGACGAACCAGCTGCCAATTGAGGAAAAACTCCACATAGCAGCCCCGCAGTCCGCATCACAACACCATTAAATGATTCGAGGTGATTGGTGGTAGGGATTACACCGTCCATTTCGCATCCCAGAAGCGAAGCAGCGACTTTCCAACCAAAATCGGACCAGCTCTTCCACAGATTGGTGTCAACTACAAGAAATTATGTAGTAGGAAGTTTGAACTGGGATGACGTTACCCAAGTACTCCCTTGTGGTTCGTATTTTCCTATGTATTGACTACTGGTCTCTTTTTCCAATTTTATTAACTCCGTCAAACTATTATTAAGTTCGAAGGGCTGTAGTAAGGTGAAAGATGTCAAGATCTTTGATGCGGTGAATCTGTGGGAACTAGTCAATAGTTTCTGAACTTCAGAAAGAGGCAATAATACTGCTCACCAACTGTGGTGATCTTTAACAACTCTTCTTGAGTATGGTACCTGGCTACGGCAGGACTTCAGTGCTTGTTGGACTTCTGGTGTGAAATACCTGGCTACGGTGTCGAGCCATTTAAATGTTTAGGTAAAAACAAGATAAGGCCATTAAAAACCTTCTTGTAACAAAAGCACAATAATCTTCGTAATGCTCTACAACGCCGGAAGGACCGGGCCGGCCGGGCCGAATCGGATCATCGGCCGAATCGGACATCAGTCCCGACCTACACTAAATATAAACAGAACGGTCAAAGCGGGGATTCGCATCAGTAATCCTTGTACACGAATGAATAATCAGCTTAGTAAAAAGCTGAATAATGCTTATAGCTCTGCAGCAGGGACGCTGAATAAGGATGACTGATGAAATTAGTCAGGATTAGTCAGGATTATTCATAACAGAAGAAAGAGAAAGGAAATAAATTCACATGGAACTAGTATATAAGGACTGGAACTCTGTACTACTATACATACCTACGCACTACCCACTCACTTGTACTAAGTAGAATATTAATTTCAAACATTATTTTCTACGTCTAATTCAGTTCTTAAGTCTAATTAAAGACGTCTATAGAATAACTGAATCATTCCTTACAAGTCAAGCTCCGCAGACTGTACAGACTTTAGCCGAACAGATTAACGAACCGTTACCGTTACTTCGTTAGACAAGCCCCGCCCATAAAATTTATATACGCGCGCTGCGGTTGTTAACGAACTTACCAGAAGCTTACCGAATTATTGACCGACGACCTTCGTTAGACAAGCCCTGCCTATAAACTCTATACGCGCGCTGTGGTTGTTAACGAATCTACCAGAAGTTTACCGAATTACGACTACCGACATACCGAAAGAACTGTACTAAGGAAGTACTAATTCTGAATAAATTTATACACACCACCCAATTCGAACTAACGTGGGATTACTCGAATAAAGTCATTTCCAGTATCCTACGTAGGAAACATATTTTCCACTCGACAACGGCAGGGCTTCTGTGACGGTGAGACTTCTGGGTTTATGATACCTGGCTACGGCAGGACTTCTGTGATGGTAGGGCTTCTGTATTTTTAGGATACCTGGCTACGGCAGGGCTTCTGTGACGGTAGGGCTTCTGTATTTAAGATACCTGGCTACGGCAGGGCTTCTGTTTCTTCTGTACTGGTGGTACCTGGCTACGGCAGGGCTTCGGTGACTGTCTAGTGAACAACTGTGTTCCTGGTTTCTTGTTTCGGTAGTAGCTTATGTAAGCTGTTGAACATATTTCGCTTCTTGCAGAGAGTTGGTGACTTGTTTCAGATTTCTCAGTTGTAGTTGAAGCTTGCGTATGATCAATCTACTATGCTAGTTGGAACTTAGAGGTCTTAGAGTGAAATAATTGTTTTCTGGCAGTGAACTGAAGGGGGAAAGGTTGTTATTCTAATCTAAAAACAGGCTCCTTATATAGTATTCTAGGGTTTCCTTTTTGAGACTTTTCTGCCCAGTCCTAGTCATATTTTTATGACTCTACATGACAAGGAGTCAGAGGGAGTCATATAACTATGACTCTTTCTGACTCACAATTCTGACTCCATTCGTGACTCATTTGTGCCACATGTTTTCTTTGTGTTTCAGAGTTACTTGTTTCGGATTGCAATTGTTGATCGGATTTTGCCGGGCCATGATTAGATTATTGTTTTGATTAGATTTGGTAATAGATAAGATTGGTTGTGCTGACTAATTTAAAGTATCTGCTTTATCTTTTTAGGTGTTCTATTCTGCTGATCATATTTCCCTACTTTTCTCATGTTCTGACTCCCATTTAGTTGGGAGTCTGACATCGGTGGTCCAATAGTCCCGCAAATAATCAAGGTGTTCAATCGTCTTGTGAAAGCTTTTCGCGTCGCCTAGATGGGCCAGAAGCTCTCGTTCCTGTGACAAAAGCGTGCGAGCTTCCTCAATGGTTTGGGTTTTTACAAGTGTGTCCTCTAATCGTTTTAGATGATGCTTCAGGTCGATCTTCAGAGTGCTCTTTCCCTTCAACAGTTTGTTTTGATGATTTTTCCATGATTGACAGAGATGAAATCGACAGATCAACAACCAAATGGAGGAGATCACTGCGAGCAAGGCTCCGCGCTCCTTCAAATCCGTGTCTGTAATTGCAGTAAATGGACAGAACATAACCCCTGGGAACGAGTAGAGATGTCTGCACTTTGTAAGGGAGTCCATCCATGCACGCAGAACCTTTGTTAAGATGTCGGTGTCATAACCAGATGATGACTGCTTGTTCCCTGTAGGCGCCGAAAACATCAAGAATGCGGCGGGAATGCCCTTGCGGTTCTCGTCGATGACCATCACAATGAAGAGGAGGAGACGGCTGTCACAGATCCCAAAAGTGCCATCTAGGATAATCTGATTCTCATGCCCATACTTCCATGCAGCCGCATTCATCTCGTCTGTGGCAACACACGCTTTGAAGTGTTCGCCCTTAGTGGCTCGAGCTGAGTAATGGAAGACAGCTTCCGCAATGGTGGGGTTATACTGCGGAGATGCTGGGTCGAGCCATTTGTCCACATTCACCTGCGCTTTCTCTGTCACCTTCACACCATTCATACGGCTGAATTGGCGGTACAAGGATCGCGAGTCCCGTGTCTCCATAAGCCAACGGTACGGGGAGGTCCATAGATTGGCTGGGAAGTCCTTGTGGCCTCGGGCTGTCACAAGCTCGCAGTTCTTCTTCTTTACGTCTGTGAAAGAGGCCCCATCGCGTAGCTGGGAGAGTGCAGCAACGAAGACAGAGGGGTGGACAGGTACAGGTGGGATTTGAGTGTATTCTGCCTGTTTGCAGGCCTCGTTATGGTGGAAAAACCCGCGAATGCGAAGGATTTTATGTGAGGAATCTTTGTATGTAATCTCCGCATGGGCGAGGCAAGATGTAAAAGGAACAGGAGTTTGTCGTTCCTTCTTTCCAGCCCGAGTATGATCATAGCCACATCGACTGTAATATAATTATGAGACAATAATAGAGATGGATGGTAGGGGGTGGGCATACCACAGATAAAGGACTCGTTGCGTCCTGCTGGTCGCATTTACTGAGTTTGTTGAGTATATGCTCCACTGCTGAGACCAGCGGTTATCGATCTGTTCTCGGGTGTCAATGTCCAGCCCTTGCTGGACCATGATCGCGGTGGCGGTGAGCTGGTTATCATCGCTCAAAGTGTAGACGTAATCCATGGGCGAAACATCATCCACCGTGGTGGCATGGCCCGCATACATTTGCTCCAGTTCTTTTAGCTGTGCCGGCGAAACCTTCAATTTCTTCAGCTGAATATCGGAAGCAAGGCTGCGCTGCTTCAGAGGAGCCTTCTTGACCCCGGACACCATTTCTGGGGTGTATGTGGACCATTTTATTTTGTTCTTGTACGTGGTCGCGTCGGATAGCGTCGGACAGGGGCTGAGAGGCTCGGAAGGGGTAAATGTGAACTCCATGGAGAGTATGATGGGGAGAGTAGCAATAATGTCGCAGTAGGGGATAAAGGATTGAATTTACACGTCCAAAACGCGTACATTGTGGGCCACAATGGTACGGGTGCAGACCACCAACGAACATACTGTTACATAGGAGAGATGCCGTGTGATGGCCTTAATGCACGTGATCGTCTCAATTGGGAAATATCTTGGGTCGGCTTACATTCCCTTGTTTGTTTCTCATTCTTTCCCAACTTTTCTCCTTGAATTTCTCTGGATCTATGTATTGAATGCAATCAGAAACGCTACAGTCTGAATCCAGACCCTGCAGCTTGGTTCAATTCAGCTTCATGATCAACTTGGACGTTCCTTCAGATATTAATTCAATTCTAATTCTGGGATCTCATTTCATGCGCATATACCTCCTGATGTGTGAAGTGAAGAGAACACCTGGTGGCATGAGGTGTGCATCTGCTAGATTTCACCCTTATTTTCTCCTTCTGCAGAAGGCCCCGGTTCGATTCCGGGTCGGGTGATTATTTTTTCCTTTTCCTTTTCCGCCTCCTTTTATTTTATTCCCGTTCAACGACTAGGACCGGTCTGGTCGTCTTATACCCTCGCTCCAGTGTCTTTCCTTGCATGTACATATTGGTGTGTTGATTGCCCCGGCGTTGGAAGAGGAAAGGACCGTGGTTGTTAGTATTTCGACTTGGTTCCAAATTTCGGGCTTCAAAGTTGAATAAAGGTTATCAATTTAATTCTGGGACCTCATCTATCTCTTGATGTTCAAGATGGAAGGAACACCCGGTTGCACAAGGTGTGCGTCTGCTAAACTTAATAGCCACTTGAGTTTCAATTTCAGCAAAAGGTTCTCGGTTCGATTCCGGGTCGGGTGGTTATTTTTTCCCCTTTTTTGCGCCTCGTTTTGTTTCTCGTTCGTTCCAAACCCGCCGCAACGTTATTTCTCCTTCAATTTCTCTGGATCTATGTATTGAATGCAATCAGAAACGCTACAGTCTGAATCCAGACCCTGCAGCTTGGTTCAATTCAGGCCTCAGCTTGCATGTTGGCTCAATAATACAATTCTGGGTCTCATTCATGCCCACATATCTCTTGATGTTCAAGATGGAAGGAACACCCGGTGGCACAAGGTGTGCATCTGCTAGACTTCATCCATGACACAATCTTCAGCAGAATGCTCCGGTTTGATTCCGGGTCGGGCGATTCTTTTTTCCCTCTTTTTGCGCATCATCCTTTCCATCCAACCTTGCGGCATCCTCGCTGCTCGCTGCCTCTGAGGGACAGTCAATTCAGTAGCAGGTGGTCAGAGCTTGCTTGAATTTCACGCTTCATTGATTTCGGCAGTAGTATGTAGTAGAACGATGATATAACAAGCTGGGACTTCATTCATGCCCATATATCTCATGATGTGGGAGGTGAAGAGAACACCCGGTGGCACAAGGTGTGCATCTACTACACTTTCCCAAGCAGTAAATCTATTCAGCAGAAGGTCCCCGGTTCAATTCCGGGTCGGGTGATTCTTTTTTCCCTTTTCCGCCTCTTTTCATTTATTCCCCTTGAACGACCAGGACCCGTTCGTGTCTTCTACCCTCGCTCCGGTGTCTTTCCTTGCATGTACATATTGGTGTGTTGATTGCCCCGGCGTTGGAAGGGAGGACCCGCAGTTATTTCGACTTGGTTCCAATGAGAGTGAAGGTTGGTTTAATTATTATATTGAACCTTAGATAGCCCATATATTTCATGATGTGCAAGCTGAAGGAACCACCTGGTGGCACAAGGTGTGCATCTGCTAGACTTTGTATCGTTGTTTATCTGTACAGCAGAATGTCCCGGTTCGATTCTGGGTCGGGTGATTCCTTTTTCCTTTTCCTCTTTCCGCCTCTCGTGCCCGTCGTTCTTCTGCGCGTGCTCCGGTGTATTCTCATTACTTACAGCGTATTGCCCCGGCGTTGGAAGAGGGCGGGACCCGTGGTTATTAGTATCTCTGGTTCCAGATTTTGGGCTTTAAGTTGAATAAAGGTTGGCTCAAATATTAATTCTAATTCTAAATCTGGGTTTCATTCATGCCCATACATCTCCTGATGTGCGAGGTGTAGGAAACACCTGGTGGCACAAGGTGTGCGTCTGCTAGACTTATGCAATGTGATAAGAATTACCAGAAGGCCCCGGTTCGATTCCGGGTCGGGTGATTCTTTTTCTTTTTTTTTCCTTTTCTGCCTCGTTTGTTTCTCGTTCTTTCTGAACTGCTGCGTCCTTGAATTTCTCTAGACCTATGTATTGAGTGCCGTCAGAAACACACAGTCGGATCTAGACCCCACTGCAGCTTGGTTCCAGATTTCCAGCTTGCATGTTGGTTCAAATATCAATGTAATCTTGATTCTGGGATCTCATTCATGCCCATATATCTCATGATGTGTGGAATGAAGGAAGCATCCGGTGGCACAAGGTGTGCGTCTGCTAGATTTATATGGGTTTTGAAGAAAATTTCTGCAGAAGGCCACGGTTCGATTCCGGGTCGGGTGATTCTTTTTTCCCCTTTTTTTGCACCTCGTTTGTTTAAATTTCTCGTCCTTGAATTTCTCGTTAAATTTCTCTGGACCTATGTATGGAAATCAGAAACGCGGACAGACAGATCTAGACCCCTGCAGCTTGGTTCCAGATTTCCAGCTTGCATGTTGGTTCAAATATCAATATCAATGTAATCTTGATTCTGGAACCTCGTTCATGCCCATATATCTCTTGATGTGGGAGGTGGAGGGAACACCCGGTGGCACAAGGTGTGCGTCTGCTAAACTTAATACAACTGTGCCTTTTCAATTTCAGCAGAAGGCCCCGGTTCGATTCCGGGTCGGGTGATTCTTTTCTTCCCTTTTTTGTGCCTCGTTTGTTTCTCTTTCCATCCAAACTGCGGCGTCCTCGTCGCTCGTTGCTCGTTGCCTTTCTCTGAGGGACAGTCAATTCAGTAGCAGGTGGGCGGTCAATTTCACGTTTCAGGCAGTAGTAGTAGAACGATGATATAAATTCAAGCTGGGACCTCAGTTCATGCCCATATATGTCTTGATGTGTAGGGTGGAGGGAACACCCGGTGGCACAAGGTGTGCATCTGCTAAACTTTTCTATTCGTGTTTCCATTTCAGCAGAAGGCCCCGGTTCGATTCCGGGTCGGGTGATGAACATTCTTGATAACCTTTTTTCTCTTCAGTGGGTTTCTATTTCTTTTACTTCTCGAGTACTTGGTGCTCAGCTGTTCGTTGGATTCGTTCGTATTTGCAGGGAGAAGACTACATACGCATGTAGTACAATACACGGAGATGTACATTAGGCGTTATTTAACAGGTCATTCAAGTTGTGGGCTGTGCGACGCAGGCATTGCTGCCACGCGAGATAGGAGCGAATTGCACAGAGATAGTTCAGCAATTGCGATTACAGCCAAAACAGTCTAAGGCGTTGGCTGCATTTACGGTGCCGGTCGCGAGGGTCCTTGGAGACTGCATATTTAGAGTGATTTGCCACAGATGCATATCAGGAGATTGCAGTTTACTGTATCTCGCTCGGGCATATATGTGATGATTTAGAGGTCATTAGCGCGCGGTGGCGTCCGAGGTGACAGGTGCTATACTTACTTGGCCGGGGACCGTGAGTCGACGATGGAGGAAAGCGAGCGCAAGGAATGCACTAGCTTCGCAGGATGATGGTGCTAGTGGAGCCAGGGGTGCCCGATGAGGCCAGCACGTTTGGGCGAGGTGGTGGTGGTGGTTGAATATTGAGAGAGGGTGCGGGAACTTTTCTAATCGCCGGTACAAATCTCTGCTTCCTTCCTCGACCGCATATTGGCCACGACCGAGATGGGTACCCGGCAACAGCAAGGCAAAGGCTTTAGCAAATTAACGAATGAATCTGCGGACCAGGATGGCTAAAGCGAGCAACAGAAGGCTGACACGTGTGGAAAGCGAGCTGGAGCAGCAGCCTTGCTTAAACGGCGTTGCAGCAAGTTAAAGTCGAATCCAGCCAACCCCCTTTCCTGCGTCTCTCCCTCATGGCGTCTACGCGAGTCCGCCGCAAGCCCGCGCCCGCAGTCGACGACGACGTCCTGCGCGCCCTCGCCGCCGCTGCCAACGACGACGAGGTCCGCTCGCTGCCGTCGCGCGCGTCGTTCGCGCTCTACGCTGCCCCGCCACTGGAGCCCGCCCCGGCCCCGTCCGCGCCATCCCCATCGCATGCGCAGCCCCACTACACCACCCGCCGCCGCGTGCAGTCGTCCGTCCCGCCCTCGCTCGCCCACGCCCCCGCCGCGCCCGCAACACCGACGCGCAACCGCCTCGGCGGCCTCGCGCGTCTCCTCCTCCCACACCCCTCGCCCACGCGCGTCCGCAAACAAACCATCTCCGCGCCTGCCCCCATCGCCTTCCCGCCCGCGCTCCTCCCGCCCGCCCTCGCCGCCCTCGCCCTCCCGCCGCGCGCCATGTCCCTCCGCGACCTCGACCTCCCCCCACACATCTCGCCCACCTCCTCCACCTCCTCCTCCGGCTCCGGCTCCTCGCGCGCGTCGGGCGAGACAGACGCCACCTCCGCCCCGTCGTCGCCCGTCTCGCCCCGCGGCCCCGCCAAGATCGTCAAGCCGCCGCCGCCGCCGCCGCCGCCCAAGAGCCCCGAGCGCGACCGCGAGCGCAGGGCCGCGAAGGCCACCGCGAACCCAAAGTCGAAGCCCCCGCCGCTGCCCGCGCTGGCACCCCTCACGCCCGCGGCCCTCGCGCGCGCGGCACGCCTCCCGCTCGTCGCCCCCAGCGGCGTGCGCGTCCCGTTCGGCGCCCTCCTCGGCATGTCCCCCGGCGCGCTCGCGGGCGTCTTCGATCCTCCCAGCGCGTCTGGCGTCGATTCGGCAGTGGGCGGCGCGTCAGAAGGCGGCCCGCCAACCCCCACCGGAACTGCGCGCGGCAGGCGCACGCTCGTCGTGTTCCTGCGCCACTTCTGGTGCCCGCTGTGCCAGGACTACATGGTCGCGCTCGCGGGCGGCGTGCGCGCGTCTTCGCCGGCTGCGTCTCCCGCGATTCCTGCGGTTATCCCTACATCTATCCATGTATCGACTACGACTACGACTACGCCTACGCCTATGACTATGCCCCATGCGCACACTACGCCTATGACTATGCCCGACACGCACATGCACACTACGCCCGACACACAGACGCACACGCACACTACTACTATGCCTACATCTCTATCTATCTCGATCCCGGGGAGCTCGATGGGCATCTTGCCGTTGGGCGGCTCTATGACTGTCTCCTCGGCCCCGGGGACGCCGAGCCCGAATTTGGGCGATGGGTTGGCGTTGGGTAGCGCGATGGTGGAGGCTACGCAGGCTAGCGCTATTGCTATTGCGCTTCCGGACTCGTCTATCTTGGCGTCGGACGCGAACTCGAACACGAACACGAACACGGACGCGACCGCCGCGCCCTCCACCTGCCCCTCCTGCCCCTCGTGCGCCGAGGCGGGCAGCGTCACGCTCGCGTACCTCGCGAGCCTGTCGGCGCCCGCGTCGCCTGTTGATGCGGACTTTAAGAACGTTGACGACGGTGTTGACGATGAAGGGAAGGACGAGGGGGTCGATGTGCGTTCTTTTCTTCGTTCATGTTTTATGTCTTTCTTTCTTTGCTTGGTTTCAATACGTTATATGTTTCTTCTCCCATTTGCTTCTTCCCCGTTTTCGTCGAATACTCCTCTCGCTGCAACCTGCCTTTTGTTTTTCCTTTATATTCATATATTCTTTATCCCCCCCTTTTCGTCCTGTTACGACGCTGATGCTGATGCTGCTTTCCGTGTAGGCTGCTGCCAGTGGGCAAGACCAAAAACCCTCGCAAGCGCCCTCCGAAGCGCG